CAAAGTTGACAAATCCAAAGCCCTTTGACTTCCCTGCATCCCTCATAACTACAGCACTAGTAATTCACCATATTCACCAAAAATTAATTTCATGTCTTCATCTGTTGTAGACTCAGAAAGATTTTTCACATAAACATTATTGAATGTGGTCTTATCCAAAGCATTGTCTCTTTCCTGCTTATGAAGGAAAGGTCCAACATAGACCTGCTTCTCATTGATCAACATGCCATTTTTGTGATTGCATTTTGAGCAGATTCTTCATTGTCAAATTGTACAAAACCGTAGCCTTTAGACTGGCCAAGACCATCAATAGCTATCTTGCAAGAAAGGATGTTGCCAAATGAAGAAAACGTATCATGTAATGCTTTGTGATCAATAGACTTGTCCAAGTTCTACAGGAGAAACAACAATCAAAGGATTAGGTCAATATTGGAAGCCAACAATTGAGAGTGGATACAGAAAGATTTTTTTTGCATCTATATTTGCATGAATATTGAGCATGGATGGACAGAGATTTGAACGGGTAAGAACAAAGGTACTAAAAGGTCAGACAACTTCCGATCAAAATAATAATATTTGTGATTTCATGGGGGGAAATAGCCATAGAAGTAAGAAAGGGTGGTAAAAAAAATCAACAAGACTGAAAAGAGCTTAATACCTTGATAAATATGTTTGCAGTACCACTCTTACGAAGACTAGGGTCTCGCTGAGAATACATGATACGAATGGGCTTGTTATTAAGTGGAGTGAAATTCAGTAGATCCAATGCCCTAGCAGCTATAGACAAGAATAACAAAAGGGAAACGTTAATTTAAAAAGGAAACATTAACTAATTGCACAATTCCAAAGAAAGAATTCATTCTCCCAAATCAAAATTGTTAAAACCAGGAACATCAAAGATATGAATTCTAAAACTTAATTTTTAAAGTTAATTTCTAACATAGAAGTTCAATCCACTCTTGTAAAGAAGATAGGAAATAAATTGGGTAAAGCTGCGTCAAATACAAAGAAAATCTAGAGAAAAAATTAAGGAAAGTTTAAATTCAAAACATAGGAACTGAAGAGCTGTGTAAAGTATTTTTGCAAATATACATTTTTAAATTTAAAAGAACACATAACAAAAAGTTTCAGCAAAACATAGGCATTGACAATAACTACATTTTCAGAAACATTGCGATTTAGCTATCAACAGAAAAGGCATAGATACAATAATACACTTAAATTTTGCAATTAAATTGGATTAAAAATAAATTAGCTTGAATTCTACACAAATTAAAATACTTGCGATACACAAACAATCTCTCAAAAAAATTGTATCACCACAAAAAAGATTTCCCGAAAATAAATCATCTACATTCACATTCCAAATGAACTAAAATGAAGTAACCAACAAAGATATATAACTATTAAATCACTAAACAGAGAATAAAATTTTAAATCTAAGTAGAAGACTAACCATCACGAGGATCGTTATAATTAACATAGCCATAGCCGAGAGAGCGGCCAGAAGCCAAGTCCCGACAGACTCTTACTGAAGCGACCTGAGCCACCTGGCTAAATGTTTGGTAGAGCTGTTCATCGGTAACGGTAGGATCAAGATCCCCGACATAGAGCGATGCCAGCATAAACTGCGGTCCTCCGGTAACGGGAGCAACGCCGTTCGGCGCGGAAACCGGCGCCTGAACCTGTGCCATAAAAACCGCAGCCCTAACTCTTCAAGATCGTTCTTTTTTCTTCTTTTCTTCAATTTTTTCCTCTCATCTTGTTATTCAATCAAAACTATTGAGGAAAATATAAAAAACAGATTCTAAATCTAAACTAAAAATAAGGAGATTTTTTTTTTTGTATCGTGAATAAAAGAGGAGAGGGATGCGCAAAATGGGGATGAAATCGTCAGAGATCCGGAGTTGAACGGAACGATAAATGCCGACGACGAAGAAAAGAGGAGTTTATGATTTTCTCTTTTTTGAATTTTTTTTAAATGACAAAAATGGGGAGGGCAGAACGAACTGCGCCACACCGGAAAAGAAGCAACTGTGTCGCTTTTATAGGTATGAAGTAATGAAGGTTTTGAAGAAACCCTACTTTGTTTCGGTAAGTTAATCACTACCGTTGGATCTTCTAATGTTATAAAATTTGGTTAAATTATCTAAATATACCGGCAAAACTTTCGAGATAATATTATGGAAAAAATTAATTCACGAGATAAAGCACTCCCAAGATTAATTGCTCAAATAAGGTGAAATCCACAGTGTTGGCCGTAGGTCGCCATGCTTTCCGGTCGACCTACTAGGTCGCCATGTCTTCCCGGCGAGCTACAAGAGATTGCATGTGCCATGCACGTCCCAACACGCTGGGCATCCGAGGCCATCCGACCGAGGCCATCCGAACGAGCTATGCGAGGGCATCCGAGAGTAACCGAGCGAGCTATGAGAGGGAATCCGAGGGAAGCCGGGCGAGGGTAGGTCGCCCGGAGTGCATGGCGACCTACAAGGTCGCCCGGAGGGCATGACGACTTACAAGGTCGCCCGGAGGGCATGACGACCTATGTGTTGGACGTGCATGTGCCATGCAACATGTTCATTCTCTCTGTTTGAGCAAGGGTAGGTCGCCCGGAGTGCATGGCGACCTACGGCCAATACTATGGATTTCACCTTATTTGAGCAATTAATCTTGGGAGTGCATTAACTCGTGAATTAATTTCTTTCATAACATTATCTCGAAAGTTTTGTCAAATATACCACATCTCATAATTAAATATCAAATGACACTCACCTTTTGCTAAAATTTTAGGAACGCACAAATGATTGCATTTGATTTTGTATTCGTTACACTCAAATTTCAAAAAGTCATAATTAATTAAACATATTTATGTTGATGGGAAAAGATCTTAAAAAGACAAGATTGATAAAATATATATTATTGTATCTATGTCATTTCTGCTAGTGAATGTGTTAGTGGGAGTAAAGTATCGATGGTAATATTTATATGTAGGTCTTATTTTTAATTATTCAATAAATATATGTTAAAAATTAATGTAGAATTTGATAGTGTAAAACTTGCATTGATTATATATTTGTTTATTGTTTCCAAATGTTTAAATATAATCTTTCTAACATTTATTTATTGAGTTATTGAAGACAATGCTAAAGCTTGTAATGCTATTACCACTTGGTTTCATGTTAACACATATCATACATATTTTTTAGATAAAATTCTACAATTTTATTCTGATTTTTTTCAATTTAATCCTCTGATGTACACTTCCAAGTTCCAACCCTTTAGTATCACATAAAATAAAGATGTGTCATGTCATACGAGTTTATTAGAAGTTGAAACTAACTTGATATGTCGAACGTGACACTCCTTATCATATATAGCACTAAAAGAGTATCATTTCAGTAAATAATCAAATATATATAATTCTAATATTTAATATTAAAAATGATATGTTTAGATAAATTAGTCGTAAAAAATAAGGGTTTAATTATTATGAAAATCAAAGAATTTGACTCAATAAAAAATTAAATAAAATTAGGATCATGAAATAAGATTCATTGACTTAAATAACTCGGAATTTTTTAACATTATGATCAAATACTATCCTTACTCCATTTCATATGAATACTATGCTAACCCACCCACTGCCGGGTATCACTTGAGCTTGTCCTATTTGTTACGGAAGACGACTATCGGATAGAGCAAAATCGTAATTGATAATTTGATAAAATAAAAATGATGATAAAAGAGACACAAAATTTACGTAGAAAATCCTAAATAATATAGGGTAAAAACCACGGGTAACGGTAGAATAATTTCACTATGACAAAATAGGAATTACAACATCTCTTGATCTACCAAGGAGAAAACAATGATAATTCTCTCTTGATAAAAAGGAAAAAAACAACTCTCAATAAACCCTCTAAATTCTCTAATATTAGAAGAAAGTCAGAATACTTTTGGATGGTTTATAGTATATGATATTTATAGTTGAAACTTGATGATTAATCTTGTAAATATCTTAAAGTTTAATGATTAAATGTAATTATCCCCTTTAATAAATATTCAACAAAATTGGCTAATAATAATTTTTTTTTCAAAGCCACCGGCTGCTAACCAGCAGCCCATGTGGTTTTTGATTTTTTCAACACTATTGATGTTCTACGAAATAGTTATGTTAGTCTCATCTCTCAGCTTGCATTGTATATTTCCAGTGCGCGATGCTACTTCATTGAACCAGTTAGATGGAAAATCTTGTCCTCTTGTACCTTCCAGCAGGATTGAGGATTTCTCTGAAAATATAGAGTTGAGTTAATTTCCTGTCCTCGATATTTAGAGTTATAACAAGAGACAGATTGATCACAAGCAAGGCCGTAGATCTTGAAAGCCAAACAAAAACCTTTTCCTTCTTCTCGGGGTATTTTCTGGCAATAAATTTGACTTGTATAATATAGTTTCTCTCCATCCTAAAAATCTAAGTTTCTTGCGACAAAGCGGGAAAAAAGAAAGCCACTTTTCTTTTACATATCACAGGCTTTTTGTGAATGATAATCACTGATTCACTCTCGGTTACCGACAGAAAACCCTCCATTTCCATTTGAAAATATATTCAAATCTGGCCCGCAGAAAACTGCTATCAACTTTTGCTTTTAAATGCTGATATAATTAGTCAAATACTCATCAGTTAACTGACCGGTGACGAAGTAGATAGATATAGATATATAGTAGCAACTTTACAGAAGCCTTCCGAGCAACAGAATCATAAAGAAGATAGATAATGCATCTTAATTTATTATTTCAAGGACACCCACCATCAACCTACTTTCGTTTTTCTCATTTTTTGAAAATAATAAAACCATAGGTTCAAGGGAGAAGGTATGGGCTAGCTTAAGTGGACGAATAATGCAAAGTAGATACGTGAACTTCAGTGTCCATGGATGGTTGCATTTAAGCAAAAAGCTTCCTCTCAACGAGTTTCTTCCGCAGTAGTCAAAGTGATCACACACCCAAAAAGAAAAAGAAATAGTAATAATTCACCAGCTGGAAGAAAGATCGAATAAAGAGTGACATAAATCTGCTTTGGTTTTAAGTCAGGAATAAATAAGCAGTAGAGTTGAGGAGAGACATCTTTGTCTTTCTTCTTTCCCGAAACAAAAGAAGAAAAAAAGAAAGAAAAAGCTACCACATTTCATCATCATCTTCTTCAAAGCATATCATAATGGGAACGGAGTTTTGGTTATCTAGCAGTTTTTTTTTTTGTCTTTTTGGTAATTGGGTTTGCATTTCTTTTTTCTACTTTCAGACCCCTTCATCTGCCTTCTGGGTGCAACGGGAATAGCTCCAGAGTTCTATTTTCCTTCTCTTTACATGGCGATCTGCTGTCTTCTTCCAAGTATTCAAACGACCAGCTTTTGCACTTCCGCTTATATGGACTATCATCATCTGATCTTTCCATTATTTCCACCTATAATAAGAAACTGCATGATTATTTGGTGAACTTTATGTTCACAATGGAAAAACATATCATGAAGCCAAGGGACGTACCCTAGTATCCAAAGTTATGCTAGTTAAGGGAGGTGAGTTTCTCGCACAATGGCCAAGGCCAAGGCTGCTGCGCTTCATCTTTTGTCTCTCGCGTGCTTTGTGGTTTTGGAACCAGTAGAAAACGTTCTTGCCTTCGATCTTGCCATACTTTCCTAGCTGCGCAGTGATTTGTTCTATTTGTTGTGCATTTGGAGTTCGCATCCCACCTCTATACAGCATCTCCAAAATCCCTATCTGTTCTTGGGTAGGATTCCACCGCGTACCTCCAGGGTGTGTTTCCACCTACATGATAAAGTTTCTTGTTCATATTCCAAATCTAACGTTCTTTACTCTATCAAATCTCCATTAACGTACATCTAAAAGGATTTTGTGAAGTACGACAAGATGGGATGAGAAATAAGAATGCATGCAGGCAATTAATTAGCGAAGGGAGTACCTGAAGAGAATCACGTTTATGGTCAGAGGGGCCAAGCTTTCTAGGGCCACTGTCTGGTCTAATGAAGCTCTTGAGGTCGAAGGAGGAGACGGTATCAGTGGAGGAGGGCTGGTGGTGGTGGTGGTGCAGCTTGGATGCGAGAGGGCGTAACCGCTTAAATCCAAGGGAGAGAGATGGTTCGTGCTCCAAGAATCCACCTGCCAACTGATGCACCTTCATGTTTCCCATGGTGAAGGGAGTGAAGGATGAAGAATGGTGAATTATATAGAAGACTGAGATGAATCCCAAATAATAATAATAATAATGGGAAAAAGACGAGTGGGAGAAGAGGTGGTGCTTTGAATAGCCAAGACCAAATGATGAGGTGAGGTTGACTTATGATTTCCCTGATTTTAAAAAGCAAAAAGAAAGAGTAAAAGACAAGTGTTGAAATAGAGAGGATAAAGGCAACAGAAGAGGAGGAGGGGTATATAGGGACTAGGGTATGAGCGTGTGGGTGAATGCATGAGTTGGTAAATGCGTGTGGGTTGGCCTTGCCCACTCTATTCCCTCAATTTTTTTTTCTACTTGCTTTCATGATAACGTCTTCTTGCTTTTCGGTGGCCTTTGTTTTTGGTTTTCTTCTCTCTCAAACTTTATCTTTACTTTCATATTTTCTTAGCAAAATATTCCACCAATGCCAGAACATGAAAATGGAATACTTTCTTTACTTTCCAAGATACGGATATGGTGAGAGACAAAGAAAGAGAAAGGAGTGAAGGCCGTCCTCCATCTATATCTCTCACAGGTACAGAATGTTGAGAAAACCAAACCAAACCTACTAAACATATATATAAATCATATATATCACCTGCCACGCAACATGAAATTCTTGGTACATTAAAGAAATCCAATTCCAAACGCATGTATAAATTATTTCACACCAGACATTTAAAAAAACTATATTACATTCTATAATTAAATAATTATGTTAACTGATGAAGTGATCAACAATTATGAAAGGTGGCAAAAAGTGGTAGAAGGATGGTTCCAAATTCCAATCGATTTTAGGATGTTGGTGGTTCTTAATAAAGATGTGTGCTCGTCTTCTCCTCTCTGTTGGATAGATATTTATAAGGAATTGTCCTGTCACAAGGACTGATTAGACGTCTTAGAATGTAAAGGCTTAGACTATGAGATTATGTGTGTCAGCAAGCGGCCGTTGGTGATGTTACGATGGTGTGTTCATAAAAATATTAGGTATTGACATGTGATTACTTACAAAAGTTCATATGAGTAATACATTCGTCTATGAAGAAGACCTCAAAGCTGAAAATTCGCAGATAGTAACAAATTATATAAACACATTCTTGACCAAACTCAAAGATAATGTTATTTAACATAGGACCTTAAAGTATTTAAGGTTTTCCATTGTTATTAAACCAATACTTCATCAATTATGTGATTTGATTCTTACAGGTCAGATTGTTGTTTTAATCCCTTTATAATTCACAAATTTAAGATTTAGTTCTTTTTTTAATTTAATATAATTTGATCCATCTACCTCTATTACGTCATTAGTTACCCAAATAATTAATATTGCTAACTATTTTTTTATTGAAAAGTTATAGTTTTCCCCATAAACACCCACCGAATTCCTGATGGCTTATGGTAACATGATTTTCTTTTTGAGTGGAAATAATGGTTTTAAGAAAATGTACGTCGTCATGTTAACTTGAATGTTTAATTGATTAATTATATAAATTAACCAATGATATTATAAAAATAGAGGGACCGGATTATGCCAAATCAATTTACAAAGACTGAATCTTAAATTGAAATATAGTATAAGGATCAAAATTATATTTTAACCAATTATTAAATAAATAAAAACTTAAATTTAAAAATTAAAATATCACGATAAGAGAGGAGGACAGCTGTTCATACAAAATTTCTTCAAGTATTTGTGAACCCAAACTTAGTTTCTTAAATTCTAAGTGTTCAGGAACCATTTGGAAATACCCATCTTAAATTTTCAAGGCTGGGTAAGGATAATCTAAACCTTAAAAGTAAGGTTAGGGTTCATTCATGTTAATTTTTATCATTTGATTATGATTTTGATGTTAAAGTGAATTTTTTCGTTAATTGTTTTTTTATGTAAACTTATGTTTATGTTTATTTTTTTCTTTTTTGGTTTATGATCAATTTATTGTCAATATATTTTATAAATCTCTGTAATATTAATTGTAAAAAATATATATTTAAAATATTGTATTACAAACTTCTAATATAAGTTTATTAAAAATAAAAATTATTGACTTTATATTAACATTTAAATTATGTAGGTATAATAACACCATAATGTAAATTTATATAATTACTATAAGTACGTAAAAAAAATAAAAACTCAAATTCAAAAAAAAAAATTAAAACTCTACAAAACATAAACTCAAAATAATCCAATTCGCGTAATTGCTCCCTCTAATTTTAATTGTCCAACTTCATATTACCTACTACTGAAACTATTACCAATAATTTAAGGTTTGTTTAAAAGTCAAAAATAAAATAATAATAATAATAATTTTAAAAGGACACGTAGCCATTATTTGTTACATGTCATTCTCTTGCTTTTCACAATAAAATTTGCTTGTCAATTGCTTTTCTAAGCACAATTTCATTATGTCAATAATGATACATACAATAGCATGACTAAAATGCATGTATGCGCAAACCATTCAATGATTTATACATCTATAAGTGCAGGAGAAAAAGACAAGGTAAACTTCAGTGGAAAAGCAAGAAAAATATCAGGGCAAACTATACATTTAATACCTCATCTATCACATTTATTCTGTTTTGGTCACCCGACTATTTTTCTTTCAAAATCATACCTAACGTTACGTTTTAGTTTCATTTTGGACACCCACTGTTAAAAAATTAAAAGAACTATTGACGTGATATATATGTTCCAACAATGACATGACATTACCTTATGGTGAGACGTCATTGTCATTAATTTTTTAACAGCGGGTGACCAAAATGAAACTAAAACTAATCATTAAGTATGGATTTTTTTTAAAAATAGTTGGGTGACCAAACCGAAACAAAAGTGATAATTAAGATATTAAATTTATAATTTACCTATAATAATAATTTGATTGGAAATGTCATATTCTTGAAATAGAGGAACAAAAACATCTAAATTTGAAATGTAGCCCAAAATTCTAACCAAAAAATGCCGTGTTGCATTTGTATGCATGTCTACTGCCATAGGCATCCCTTTTGTAATCAAATAAATATAGGATTCAAGGTTTTGAGATTATGTTGCCGGACGCAGATCTGGCCTTTCTCTCCCGACCCTGGAATTGGCCATACACTGACAAACTTGCCAATAAACTAATTGAAATTTGTTGATTTTTGCTAAACAGCCCATTTTGATCCTAAGATCTTCACATGGATTTTCACCAATAACAAGCTTGGAAGTGAATGTGTGTACTTGATTTGAGTTCATCGCTTGGACTCACTCTTCTCTATGACAACTTCCACTACAATTTCTTTTTCCTTGTACCTTAATTAGCTGTCCGTGTAGGCGACACTGTCTTCTTAAAAAATAAGAATAATCAAGGATACAACATTATACATGATGGGTAAAGAAAAGGTTGTTGAAGGATTTTACTACTTAACGGTTTAGCTGTCAGATGAAAAGAGGCTTGGTAAATATATTATTTAGGGATAAATTACCTATTAGATCAATCAATTATGATCGTATTTATGTTTTAGTCGATCAACTTTTTTTTTTATAAAATTATCATTGATATTATGTTTTAATTTTATTTTGGTCATGAACATTAAAAATTTAATAGAGCCTGTGATGTAGCCTTATATAATAACAACATATTCTATTAATTTGATCTTAATTCAAAATAACTCACCAAATTTAATCATCATTTAAAAATTTGAGGCCAAATCCATTATTTTTTCACTTTTAGAGGCTACTATTACACCATATCATATCATTATTTTTGTTAAATTTTAAAAAATCGGTGGCAAAATATAATTAAAATATAGTATTAGTGATAATATTTTTTTGACAAAATATTAGTGATAATATTATAAAAATAGCTGAATGATATAAAAAATACAGTTATAATTAGATGACATTTTCCCATTACTCATCCTCTGGCTGTTAATTGCTTGAAAAGGAAAAATATGACATGGAAAAGGTAATCGATTTCGAGGTTAATCACCATTGTCGAAGCTGTCGTTTCGAGCTTGACGACAATGGATGTGTTGGAAGCGTAGATGAGCTCACGATAATTTATAACACTTAGAAATTTTTATTTATACGAAACAAAATATGTTACAACGACACTCTCAATATCACAATACTGCAATACTAGCTGCTGCTAGTTTACAAATTCACCAATATATTTAAAGCTTTGCTAAGCTTCACAATATATCTCTCAAATCTCTTTATTTTTTCACTCCTCAATCGTATTTACGCTCACTCACTTTTTATTCACGCTCACTACCTCACACCAACTAAAGGCTAAGCACACATATATATAGGTTGTATAACCGACTTATTTGAGGACCTCTGGATGCTTCTCAACTTCTCTCCTTAATTCTTGCTTGACATGTTGCCGTGTGAATTCAAACAATTAAAGAAAAATCTTTGCCGACATATGCATGTGTGGTTTAGTGTACTGCCAAGCATTTCCACTTTGTTTTGTTTACTTGTGAATCTATCTTCATTTGCCATGTTGAACTTCTACACAATTCCAAGAGTTTGACTTCTAACACTCCCCCTCAAACTCGACTTTCCATTCCAAGCTTTTCTTTGAGTCGATTGAATATATCTGCTCTCAATGGCTTTGTGAAAATGTCTGCTATTTGATCTTCAATTCTACAGTAAATTAGCTCCACATTTTTTTCTTCACCTGCTCTCGTATAAAGTGATATTTTGTATCAATATGCTTGCTTCGGCTATGAGAGACTGGATTATTGGCAAGAGAAATTGTAGACTTGTTGTCGACATAAATTTTAATCGGTTCTTCTTGTGCCAAATTTAGCTCGTTCAAAATATTCTTTAACCACATTGCTTGGCAAGTTCACGCTGCTGCGGCTATGTATTCTGCTTCACATGTTGAAAGAGCTACCGTTTGTTGCTTCTTTGATGACCATGAAAATGCTGCAGAGCCGATATGAAAGAGATATCCAGTTCTGCTTTTTCGATCGTCTAAGTCTCCCCCATAATCACTATC